TCTACTCTCATCACACTTGCTATTGTCAGTTTTGTCAATTTAGCTAATTCTTGGGTATGTTGTTGTTTTTATTTGCATTCCTGATGAAGAATGATGTTGAGAACATCTTCACCTGCTTATTGGCAAATACACATGTTTTAAAATCTCTTATAGATTGCTATATTATTACTTCTAGCTCTTGTGCTAGTATTCTTATATGTTACACCTTTTGATTCCTATCTTGGTGGTTCATTTTCTCATTAGCTTTTAATTTTGAGTAGGAGTTAATTTTTATTGTTTTTCCCCTTCTTAAATTATCTAGGTTTCACCCTAACACATTGATTTTACCTTAGCCCTTACAGAACTGCAGGGGTATCAATATTCTGGAGTTTTTATTATATGATTTCATATCTTTAATGTATGATTTCACCATTGCAAAATTAGAATATCAATTTGCTTTTAGAGTAAAACATTCTATGTTGTAGTTAAAAAGAAAAACCCGTGTAGCACTCAGTAGGATGTGATACATGTCCTGAGTTCTCGATACTAGTTTTTCAAATTGGAATGTGCTTTCCAAACTGTGCCCACCTCTTGCCATCATTTGAAATGAATGAAACCCACTGAGGTCAGGAGGGCAGCTGTTGTCATTTCCTTTTTGCAAATGAAGAAATTAGAAGTCAGACTTTAACTGACAAATCCGAAGTCATGTGATAGAATTAAAACTAAAACTCAGGTCTTCTCATTCCTGTTCAGCTTCTTTCCCAGTAGTAGTCTATATTGAATCACGTCACTACTTTATATTACATGCCACACACCAGATAGACCGTTCTCAAGAGAAGTCAATCACCTCTTAATTTAATCTTTAGTATGGGGTAGCACATGGCTAAGAATATGGGTCTTCAAATCAGATTGCCTGAAATTGCCTCAGTTTCACTAAGCGTCAGCTGAGCTAGCTTCTCTGAATCTTAATTATAAGATGAGAATAATTGCTATTTATCTCATAGATTTTATTTAAAAATGAAACAGATTAAATTAGATTATACTTACAAGGTTTGTATCATATATGCTCCATATTTGGTAGCTACTTTTACTCTTACAGCAAGTTTTTAATGAGATGGTTCATGCAATGTGTATTCTAATATCTGAGTTGATTTCACATTGCTCCTCTCTCCTTTTCTCCAGTGATCTCACTTCTCTCATATTTTTGATATAAGATGATACTAGACATTACAGGGATTATATGATATTTAAATCATAAATCATTATGTCATCTATATGCTTTATTGGCACACATAACTAAGCTTTATTAAAATGTTATTTAAGCCAGGAATATCCCATGAAATATTAGGCTTGCTATTTTTTTCCCTACATCATTGGACCAAGGCCTAGATGCCTTGTGTTTCCAATGTGGTATTTCATTGTGTTGAATATATGCAAGAAATTCAGTGATGTAGGAACAAAGAAGAGAAACTTCTATTTCAGGTGCAAACTTTACCACCCTAAGTCACTGATTTTCACCATCTTCTCTTTCCTGTATGCCAAGGACAGGTGATGCAATGTCTGGGTCAAGTGACTGACACTTTTGAGTGTCTGAGATTGAAGGTCACTAGGAGAAACAGAGTATGCATGTAAAGTCGTTTGTGCTGGGATCCTAAAATGGGCGGGTAAGTGCAGTTCTGGGAGAGGGGCTGTTACTGCTGGATTTGAGAGTGCTTGTGGAAAAATGTCTCACAGGCTGTGTGTTATGCAGTCATTTCCATAGGGAAATAAAATTTGGGCTTAAAAAGTCAATATTTAGAGGTGATTAATTATGGCAGGAGAGTTTGTTTTGTTTCTGGTTTTAAAAGAAAATTACATCCTTCTTTGGCATTTGCCTCCCTCAGTAGCAAAGGTAAGGCTGAGGATCATAAGAAAGTTCAAGGGTTTTAGTCTACCAGCTCTATATTTTTAGTGTGCATGTGTTAGAAGAACGGTTTTCCCTCCTCTATTTCTCCACACAGAGGCAAAGAATCAGTAACCAGCACAGTGATTACTGAGGCTACTGATGGTGATATGGATTTCCTGGGATGACTGGTTGTGATTTCTTGCTTTTATATCATGCTCTACCCTGGGATAAGCTCACATCAGCATAAGATGTTTCTTCTAATTTGCATATACGATTTGAAGATCCTTGACCCAAACAGATACAATGCGAAGCTGTGTAGTCATGTAAAAACAGATGAACTGGACAAGGAAGACTACTTGCTTGATACTTAGAGCAGACAAGTGGGCCTTGGATCTAGAAGATGTCAGCTCAGAGATGGAATCATATCTAAAGGCTGTATGCGAGATGAAAAAGAGGCAGAGAGAAGTAGGAACGGGGCAGAAGGAAACTGAGAACCTAGAGCAGAGATGGAATTGTGGAAATGTCTATGGATGAATCCTTTAGACCTGGCCCAGTCCTCACTTTCCCTGAGTGAGTTCTAAAAATTCTTATTTTTCTAGATTCCAGTACAGATGTGGCTCACTGATCTCTGTCATTTTAGAAAAATGTATTTGTGATCATAGTGTGAATGACTAATGGCAATTTGCTACTATCCATGGAAAAAGTAATAATTTAAATCCTACATACTAGGCATGTAGAATGAATGCATCAGCCTTCATCATCAGCAATGATGACAACTGCAGGAAAATGTGGGAGTGGACAGAATAATAATCACTGATACCTCACATTCTTTCCATGCTGTGAAATGTCAGTAATAAAATCCTCCCCCAGACTTTCAACATTTAGAAATATGTTATGGAAACTTTAAAGTTTGGAACTCAGACTCATCAGAATAATGTGCACACGATTCAACATTAAATCAGAAATCAGAGGTGGAAAAAAAGAACCAACTTTCATCTTCATGGAAAACTTCATTTTTAGATCACTTATGGCTAATTAAATGACAAATCAAAAGAAAAGCTGAGCCTGGTGGTACATGTCTGAAATCCCAGCACTCAAGGAGGCTGAGGCAAGAGGATTGTGAGTTCTAGTCACCCTAGACTACATAACAAGTTATAAGTCAGCCTAAGTGGTGAGTCCTAGAAAGAAAGAGAGAGAGATTAGGAGAGTAGTGGGGAGGAAGAGGGAGGAAAGAAGGGAGAGAAAAAGAGAGAGGAAAAAAAAGAGAAAGAAAAAAGAATCAGAAGATTGCATTAGACTCTGGATGATGAATCAATAAGAAAATTATCATAGTACTGTAAATCACAGAACTCCAAAGACTGTGTTACAAAATAAGCGACAAAAGATATATTGGAAAACAACCATAAGAACTGGTCCATAAACTTTGGGAAAAAGTCTAGACATTGAGCTATTTAGAGATGTAAAAAAATATTACTATAGCTGTTCTGCTTAATGGAAACCTCCTTGGAGTCTATTAAAATATCAAGGGAATGCATGACTCTTGGAAATGCAAAACAAGATCATTAAAGCAGAGTCAGTATTATCTTGCAAGTGGTGTTGATTTACATCTATTGATCAATCCCTGCTAATACCTAGAGAAATGATTAGTGAAAGAAACATCACTCTCTTCAATTGGACCAACAAAAGGAGAAATTTATTATATAATGCAAGCCAATAGGTTTTCATATATTTAGAGAATAAACACATTTCATATATTGCAGAAAATAAATAGTGTAATAGACACAGCACAGAAGAGTGAAGAGATAACTGTTAGTTATAGGTACCTGGCTAGCAGTAAGATGAATCAATAAATCAATCAACTATATTTATAAAAGCCAATTGTGTATTTAGTTCAAAGGGCACAAAAACAAACAAGACATGATCCCAGATCCCAAGTACAAATTACTTAGAAAAGTCTTCTAAGAGTATCTACTCTGGAGCTAAGTGAATCATGAATAATAGTGGAGGTTCACAGTATTTTAAAAGTAGTACCTTTTCTTTCTCAGTGACAATGGTCATGTGAAGTTTTGTGCGTTTATGACTTTTTTGCAAATATTAAAGTATTAAAATTTCTAAAATTGATTTGGTTAGTTAAATCTTAACCTTTGGTTAAGGTGATCTTCTTTTATAGATGTAGCTATCTAGTTAAAAATTATTTCCAGACAGGTAATTTCTGTTGTTAATAGATAATACATACAATGTAACAAGATTAATTGATTTAAAGCCTTAGCCTTTACTTTATTCAGTCAATTTATTTTTGTTAGTAATTTAGCATTTACTCATGTAAGTAAAAAGTTCTGAGGGACCAAAAGTCACTTGGGTGTTGTAAGGCTAGCAACCTTGGTTTTTTAGGTTAGTGTAATTAGAGATGTCATTGCTGACCTTGGCTGCATAGCTGTATAATTTAAAGATATCAGGGATTATGTCTATGGGTGAAATCCTGAGGTATAATTTGATAACAGATTGTTCATACTCAGCTCCCCAAAACACTTTCACACAACATCGTTGTAAGTTGGTTGAAATTTTAGAACATATTTTCAAGATTGAATTTATGGATACCAACTATTCTGTTCAGCTTTAAGAAAAGAATAATTATTTTTATCGTTCAATGAAATTTTATGTACACAACAAAGGGCGACTAAGTTAAACTGAGTAACATGGGTGATTTTTGTCCATCTTTTGTGGAACTTATTTCTTTTACATTTTCATTACCATATATTAGTTGTACAGGGAGGTTTTACTGTAACATTTATATATGTGCTTATAATTTGTCTTAATTACATACATCCCCTCCATCATTCTTCCTCCTTCTCCCTCCTCCTTCTTAGAACAATTTCAATGGTCTTATTGTTCTAATTTCATACACATATACAAAGTACATCCCCTATATTCATTCTCCTTCACCCTCTCTGTTTTCCCGCTTCCCTATCACTAGAAACTGCCCCTGAAAAGACTTACTTTACCTTCCTGTCCTTCATTTTTTAAAATGTATATTGATTTTTAAGTGGGGTTTTGCCATGGTATTTCACAAATGTATGTATTGTACTTTCATCAGACTAACTGTCTCTACTACTTACTCTTGCTCTTTTTTTTTAAATAACATTAGAATTCTATATTCAAGTGAAGGCTTCATGAGAAATTCTGATATACAAATAAAATTTTCAAAAAGTGAGTTGACATTACAATAAACTGAACACAAGAACTATAGAGAGGGAGCATGATTTCTCTTTTTCCACCAATTACAAGTCTTCAGTATCTTACAATGGGGCTGTGGAGTGGCTCCAGTGCTGATAGCACCTGTCTAGCAAGTGTGAGGCCCTGAGTTCAAACCCCAGTGCTGCCACAAAAAAAAAAAATCTCACAATTTATATAAGCCCTCATGAAAGTCAACAATTTTTATACTGAATGGTAAAGAAATGTAGCAGCAGTGGTTGCCAGCATAAGAGGCAGATAACGTTTAGTAACTTTGAATTTAATATACACTTAAGAGAAACATAACACTAGCATCCTATTGAATTTGATGTACTCTTTACATGCACATTAAAGTTAAACATGTGAACGGTTACAGATGGAACATAAATTCCCGGAGGTAAAATTTTCCAACTAGAAACAGACACTCGTTCTATATAGAACTTCATATAGAGTGGAGGTTATCTCCTCATGTCACACTCTTTCACAGGGAGCATCGGGTACATTAGAGGAATGTTTTTCTGCCACCATTCGCTCATAGTTAGCTACGACAGACATATGTGAGAAATAAGGCCATATGCCTATGTTCCTTTGAGTCCAGAATGATATGTAACTTTAGGATTCAGGACCATGACCATAGTTAATGAGAAATTAAACTATAAAAAGCTTAGTTGGCCTAACACTGAAGGACTGAACCTACTCACTCTCTGAACTTCACTCTAGAAAAGGCACATTGTTACGCCTCTTAAGAACTCTCTCCTTACTGGACAAAAAAGTGGAAACAAGTATTTTTCAACTACCTAAAGCTAAGGTGGTGGTAGCTTTATAGAGCTACTATAAATGTGGTAACTTCTTGATGACAGAAAAAAACTTAAGAGGGGAAAAAGAGACTGCTAAAAATCAGTATTACTAATATTAATTAATACATAAATGTTCTCTTAGAATAGATGACGAATTTTAGTTATTCATTAGAAAGCTTATGTTTCTTTTTTTTCCCTTCAATAACATTTGGAGACTCCAGCAATAAGGAGAATTTATTCTTACAAATAAGGGTGCACTAAAACTGCTTATTTATTGCAAATTCTATTCTTGAGAGATATTTACTAAAACTCAAAATTATAAGAAAGAATAAATTGTTGATATGCCACTTACAGGAGCTACATGTTTTAATTCAACCTGTGTTCTTAAAGGCAATGTGGCTAGATCATTAGGAAAACATCAGTAATGAACATCATAGGCAATGATATCTTGGAAAACTGTGAAACAAAAACAGGGATAAGAAAGGTCAACTTCTGATACCAAAAATTACGCTCAAGAGGCCACTCTACAAAGGCCAAGCTAATGATGCATTAAATAGGTTCTGACTGCATCATTTGAAATGATCATTTATATCATTTTAAGACAGCCCTTCACATGTCCGCACGAACAAAAGAAGCAAATACTCCATCTTCCCGGGCCAAGAGGCTCTCTGGAGTGTCATATTCTAAAATATTTCCTCGCTTCATCACAATAACCAGGTCTGCCGTCAGAATGGTGTGAACCCGATGCTGTGAATGGAAAGAAGACACATATCTATTACAAATTCCAAGACACAAGCCAAAAAAATGGAGTGTGTAGATTTCACAGATCTTTCAGGGACATTTATTTATTTTGGCATGCCAGGAGATGCAGGAAACACAGCTTCTGCTTTTCCTTATTTTTTAATCACTTATTTACATATTTTTAAGTATCAGCCAGTATGGCTGGATTTTATTTGTGCTGTATTAACTTTTGTGTGGTTAACGTATCAGTATCATCATATAAATCAAATAATTAAATGCTAAGAGGAACCACTGTGAACCAATAGGATTATATTTTGTTCTCAATGACAATAACTTTTTGTGTGAGCCTACTAATTCAATGGGCTAATAAGCAATTTGAAGAACGCTAGAAGTAGTTCAATTCTGGGAAGTTCATTCTGACGTGTGTTAGGATGAATTCCCCAGGTCTTTAGGCATGCATGCAGTCTTCAGAAATCACTCCCACTCACTCATTCTCTCCTTCTGCATGGCACCCTTGCAAGATGGATTTTGGTGTTAGCAGTTAATAATAATAAAAGCTACCATTTATTGGGCATGTGTTATACATTAAGTACTCCACACTCAAAATTCTAGATCATCAGACCATTCCTCAGCTGTGGGTGTGTTCTCTCTCCACTTTATAGGAGAGATTACTGGGGCTCAGAGGGGCCAAGAAAAATCAGGAGATCACCTACTTAATAAGCAGCAGGACCAGCGTCAAAGCCAGATATACTAACTTCAACATATGAGGTCTTTCTACCCTCCTCCTAAACTGTTTCATAGGGAGAATGCGATGCTTATGAGTAAGATCCACCTGCTACGACTAGAGTTAAGGTTGGGGGTGCAATCTCTGAAGTGAACCTCTGCTCACGCATTGGCCTCACCACCTGCTATCTCTGAGCAACCTACTAACTTGTGTGTGTCTCCATCTGTAAAATGGTGGTAATAACAACACCTCCCCTGGAAAAATAACAGTAAGCATCAATGGAATAACTCATGTAAAAATTACACACCTTGTCTAGTGCACACAAGCAAATAATAAATGTTAGCCACTATTACTTAGTATTTTATCATTTAGAAGGGAAACTCTGTGTGGTGGACCTTTATCCTTACTGCGATCAGCACTGCCCAGTAAAAACATAATGTGACCTGCATGCGGTCTTAAATTTTCTAGGAAATACAGCTTAAAAGTAGAAATAGACAGGTAAAAGCAATTTTAATATTTTAACTCAGCCTATATGTTATCATTTTGACATGCAAAATTCTTCATGAGATCTTTTACATTCTTCTCTTAATACTCTGAAATTCAGTACCAATTTAAACATATCCCAATTCCAAATTCATACTTTCCACATTTCAAGTGTTCAGTATACCATGCGGACTGGGACTGTGGAGGTCAAAACATTAGTGTGCTGGTGGGAATTCTGGTCCAGACTTCCAAACATAGATAATACCATCCAATTAGCTGATACACACTCTTCCAAAGTGCCTTTCAAACAACAGTCCGAAATCCAGCCTAAAGCCATCCCCAGAGGCAGAGGCCTATATTGTGCCCCGGACCTGTGGATGGGGAAGTCTTGATGTTTATGCCTTCAGGAAAGCAAGCATTTATACCTGTGACTCACAGATGAGGAAGAAAGAAAATCATACATGGAGTATGCTGATGATACCATCCTAGACATGCACCATTATTTTCAACATCCATAGAAAAGCTTATCATTCACTGAATATTGGTAGCAAATGATATATATTGAGGAATTATCAGAAGTTTGATGACAGTGTCTATTTATCTTTGAGGACCAGAGCCATTTGTACACCCATGAATTTAGAAAAAACAGACACATTTAATGAACTGCTTAATATCTGTATACATTTTTGCTCTAGAAAAATATTAGTTCTTCAACAATCATTTCATAGGTGTTCTAAAAAAAAAGAATTTGGACTCTAAATCCAGAAAGACAATTGTGTAAACATTGCCTTAATAGTCTAAATAATGTTTACTGAAAAGTAAAATAAAAACTTTGAAAAATCTTAGCCAACAGGAATAAATGTAGCTGGTGTTTGTTTCATTAATCAAATTATTTTTTTGCTAACAAAGTGTGGTTTCAATTACAATAGTATTGATGAAATTTTCAAAATGCTCCATAGAAGTTAATCTAATCGATAGTGAAGAATAAATCATTTTCATAAATAAATACCGTGGGATATTTTGGAGAAAGCTTTTAGAAGCTGGAAAAAGTTATCATTCTAAGATATTCTGTAATTTCCAGTGACAGTAAACTAAATTAATAGAACAACTTTTAGGCAGAGAAGGAAAGGGACTAACAGAGCTGAGGATCGTTTTATGAGGAATCTGCTCTCTCTTTTGTGAGCTAGTTATGAGCATCTGGTCCCTTATGAGATCTACTTCCTTCCCAGCAGATTTATGTGTTGGGAAGAGGTTAGGCACCTACTGGCCACCTTCATACTACGGGTCTTGAAGAACAGGTGAAAGATACATATCTGTAGCAAAGTATTCAGTGAATGCAGAACAGAAACCACGTAGGAGAGTATAACTTTTGAACTAAAGATAAAAACTACGTTCAAAAACCTTTCAAGTACAGAATACATGGGTCCACTCAACAATGTCATGCATCATTCAGAGAAGAGAAGAATAAGTCTGTTGAGTCAGGAAGAGTCTGCATCCCCCCCCCCGACTTTTTCCACTCATTTAGGGACCACAGGAAGCTCTTTCCCTTCCCAAATTTCTCCCCATATTTATCCCTTGAGAAAAATTGTTGAAAACAGCCAAGATCTGTTTTTCAAGTTAGCCAGTTTTCTTACCTCTTAAATCATTTACACCTTAGTGTACATGATTCCAGGGAAGAAGAACAATAGACTTCACTGGGAAAATGGGAGAAAGTGGGTTTTTCTCTACCTGTGCTCTGATGGGAAGTCATTTCATTCCATTTTGAAAAAGCTACACATTGCAGGGTGTGCTTCCTCCCATGCATCACTCACAAAGATGGAAGCATAGCAGACATTCCTCTACAACGTCCGTTAATCAGCAGCTAAACTAAGTAATTATCTAAGTTAAGCAATGCATTCTTCAAGGCAGGTAAGGATGGGTTATGGTATTTTTAAGGATGCTGACAAAACATCCTAAAGGCTAGTGAAATTGTTCCTCAGGATAGAAGGGAATCAGGTTGTCAGCTTCAAAAATACTCTCTCACAGGGGAATCTCTGAAAACAAAAGCATGCCCTTATTCAGTCCTGTGCGTAAGGGAAGCCTGTGGTTGAGCTGACTTGGGCAGTAACACCTGCCCTATAGTTAGTTTCCTCCTCCTGGCTCACTCCCTAATCACAGCCATAGCCTGGACTTACTGAGAGAATATCACTAAGATAACTACCAGAGCATGGGATTCTTGGAAGAGCAGATCGTGATGGTCTACTTGTTGGTCATCACCAAAGTAGAAAAGAGGCCATTCTTGTGAGTGAGCAAGTTTGGACCAGTATCACACTCCACTAAAATACCCTCAGAAAAGACTAAAACAAGACCTGCATCCACAATAGAGGAGACACGATGCTGGAGAGAAAAATGGAAAGAAGAGAGAGAGAATCAGCAGGAGGAAAAATGTCTGAGGGACTCATTAAAAATAGTTTTTGCCAAGCAGTAAGCTTAAATAAGGGTAGGACTACACCCATTTCCAAAGAGGAAGAGAGAAAAAACCACAGCCTATTTTAAGTCAGTTATAACATGACTTAACAAGGATTTAGGCAATTCTCCAATTTTGATTGGTTTGACCTGTCCCCACTATGGGATAGCTCATTGTCTGCTATTTTTAAAACAGATAAATAAATAGAATCATAGAAATTAGGTATAAATATTAGCAGAATTTGCAATGAAATTTAGGAATTTTGCTTCTGAAATTCCTCCTCAGACCATTAGATTACTGGAAAGAGAATAAGTATAGACAATGAGCACATGACCTTCTGGAATCCTTGTATTTCGGAAATTCTGCCATCGCAACTTAGAGACGCTAGGTAGAGCAGACAGTTTGGAAAATAACAATGCATTCAGAATACAGTTGTAATTATTTTCTTACATAGAAACAAAAACAATAAAGGAGAAATACATAATTTAACGTAAGTATATCTTAATTACTCAACATATAGATCATAGAAACTTAGAACAAAAATCAAGAAGACTAAATCAATGACACCTGTTACTTACAGCTATTGTGACAACAGTGCGGTCTGCAAACGCTGTCATTACCACTTTCTGCAAAATGTTTTCCTGCCAAAAAATAATAAAGTATAAATTTTCTTGGGACTATATTTTCTTGCCATCCTAGTCTGTCCCCAGGAAAAATATTCCTCCATGTCTCATGGTTTCTGAGCACTCTCTCAGAGTCTCCCGGGAAAGAGAGATACATTAGCAGCAGCAGCAGGCCAGACTCTGCAGATGTCCTCAAAATGCAAATAAAGCACAGCAATTAACCTGGAGTTACTCATTGATTTATTGCCAGGGAACCCAAACAGAAAATAAAACCACATAGCCATCAGAGTGTGTGCTTGTATCATGCCACAAATGGCATGAATTCAAAAACTAACCAAACCCCCAAATGGCATTATTCTTTGCATCAGAAAAAGAAGAAACAGTGGTCTATAAAAATTTGCACTGTTGACCCATAAAGAACAATTCAGGCAGGAACTTTTTTATTCCTACAAAAATCTGCTATTATCAATGTATTTTAAAGATGTTCTGGGTAAAAGTTCCACCTCTGTCCTAGTTGAAAACTGCATTACCCAAGTGTTCATTGGAGTAGTTCCTTCCTCCATCCAAGGGCTTTACTGCTGCTTAATTCATATCTTCTTCCACTCCCACTCTCTTCTCTCTGCTGAGGCAACTATTATCTTTTTATTATCGCTCAATATTATGAAAACTTAGTTCTACTAATACTAATTTTGATGCACTTATAATTAATGAAACATTGATAGGAGACTACTTTGTTGCTTTAAATTATGTAAATTTTGAGGTTATATAACTTTGTGTAGGTACTTTGATCTTATACAATAGAAAAATGATTTCAGTTTGGTATTTCCACATATAATTGGTACTTAACAATCTTGAAATTGTTTCTTTTTGGGTAGTTTAACCCAATCTAAAGTGAGCTGCAAGAAAATAACATGAGGTTGCTGGTGGTTTTTGTTTGTTTGTTTGTTTCTCTCTCTCTCTCTCTCTCTCTCTCTCTCTCTCTCTTTTGATATCAAGCTTTTTTTCTTTTTTGGTGGCACTGGGTTTTTAATTATTATGTTTTTTATTAGGATATATTCATTATATGGGGGAGGTTTGTAGTGACAATTCTGATTAGTCTTATATTGTACATTATTTACACTGCCCCCACCGTCTCTGCCTCTCAGCTTCCTCCCCATCCCTCTTAAAGCAATTGCAAGAGGTTTTTTAGTTCTGTTTCATATAGGTATGTAAAATCCATCAACCATATACTGTCACCTTAATCTCCTTCCTTCACCCTCCCCCTCCCACTAATACACCCCCACATCCCACACACACTATGCCTATTTTACAGTCCTGGTTTTCATTATTAATGGTTGACTTGATGTTCAAAGAGGTGTCTCAATGCATGCTCACTGTGGGTGTTAAACCCCTTCCATTACTCTCCCTTACCCCTTTACCTCCCATCCCCCGTTTTTCAACAGCTTTCAATACACATCCTTATATCCTCTACCTTCACATCTTATGGTATGCGATATTAGCCCCTGGTTTTTAGCTCAGGGCTTCATGCTTGCTAGGCAAGTGCTCTACCACTCAAGCCAAGCCTCCAGCCCTTTTGGCTCTAGTTATTTTGGAGATAGGGTCTCACTTTTTGCCAGGCCAGCCTAGACAAGATTCTTCTATTTGCACTTCTTGTCATAGCAAGGATGACAGGCACACACCACCATGCCCAGCTCTTTTCTGTTGTGATGGGGTCTCACAAACCTTTTTGCCTGGACTAGCTTGGAACCATGAGTCTCCCAATCTCAGCCTCCCATGTAGCATGGGATGACAAACTCATTCCATGGCATGTGACTATTTGGTTGAGGTTGGGGGGTGGAATCTCTTTAACTTTTGCCTTGGTTGGTCTTGGACCATAATCCTCTGGATGTCAGCTTCCCAAGTGGCTAGGATTACAGGCATGAGCCACCAGCATCCAGCTCTTATAGGGGTCAAACTTTTAATATCAAGTTAAAAGAACAACATTAACTAGTAGCCTATATCCAGTTTGTAGTTTAATGTGACATTGTTCCACATTCTTTCTTGGACATACTTGACATATTTAAATAATTTCTTTCTAAAAGCAAAGTTTCTGGCTTTTTCCCCTGAACACATGGAGAAGGCCATGATTAATTCTACTCATCATTAATCTAGCAAATCCCTCTTCAAGTTGCCTTAGAAAATAAATGGTTCTGGTTATCAATAGTCTATTAAACAGAGATTTACATCCTGTAGTTTAGAGCTTCCACAGCATAATTAACAGACACAATTCAGTTCTCTCCCAGCTGAGCTCCAGATTTAGCACTGTTTTGAAATTGATCAGAAAGTGATAGTGTTTGCAGTGCTACAGATCACTAAAGTCCATTTTCCTCTGGAATGAAAACTTTTCACCCTCTGATTAACAGCTTCCATTTCCCCAGCCCTTTTTCTTCTCTTCCATACTTCCCTTCCCCCTGCCTCTGCTAACAGCATTCTACTCTGTTTCTATGAACTCAACTTTTTAAGATACTACATGCAAGTGAGATCATACAGTATTTGTCTTCCACGTGACCAGCTAGTTTCACTTAGCATAATGTCTTCCAGTTCCATCCGTGTCGTTACACAAAGCTGCATATCCAATCCTCTGTTGGCGGGTACTTAGGTTGTGTGCATACCTTGGCTATTGCTGCAGTGAGCATGGGAGTGCAGATTTCTCTTTGAATTCCTTTGGATATATATATACACTCAGTAGTGGAATTCCTGGATCATGTTGTGAGTCCACTTTTAGGTTTTTGAGAAGCTTCTACCCTTTCAAAATGTCTGTACTAATTTACATTCCTACCAACAGTGTACAGGGTTCTCTTTCCTCCACATCCTCACCAACTCTTGCTATCTCTTGTCTTTTTTGGTAACAGCTGTAATTTGTAGTGATCTATGCACAGCAATGTGACTACAGTCAAGAATATATTTCAAAATGATGAACTATTGAGGTAACAGACATATTAACTAGATGGACTAAATCTTTATACAGCATATATGAACATAACATTGCACCTTATACAGTGATACCATTTTCATGTGACAATTAAAAAATAATCAATATAAAACAAAACAAACAAGGAATATAGTAAAGGGTATCTGAAAATTACATGTCCTTTCCTTACAACATTTCTGAAAGTCTGAAATTATGTCCAAATAAAAATGTTAAGAAGAAGAGGGCTGGTGGCATGAGTTAAATGGTATAGCACCTACCTAATAAGCACAAGGCCCTGAGTTCGAATGTCAGAACTACCCCCAAAAATGTTCAGCAAAGGAAAAAAATAAGGTAAATTATTTTTATCTGTTTTTGGTAACAAAAACTCCCTTCATGCAATGAGGTGTCTCATGTATTATAATTCTCAGTTTGATAATTGATTGATCAAGGAAATTATTGAGAAGTCACTTAAAACATTAGCCACTTGAAACAGAACCCAATCAGAAGAAAACATATAATAGTTTTCACACACATTTCCCCAACTCATCCATCCTCAAGGCTTAGAGATGCTCTTACTGTGGCCATGTCGATGGAAGCTGTTGCTTCATCCATAATGAGAATACTGCTCTTCCGGACAAAGGCCCTGGCCAGGCAAAACAGTTGCCTCTGTCCAACGCTGAAATTCTCCCCTCCTTCAGTGACCACTGCATCTAAGATGAATGAAGAATCAGGTAACTCACCAAGGAATGACTACTAATATTGTACTTTGGCAAAGTTGAAAAAGTAAACTCTGCTGCATGACAGCAGACTGGATATGGCTTTGTGCAGTTAGAAAGATGTCACAATAAAAGGCAAATGGAACTTTAGAAAAGGAACATGGCAACAAGTCACCCTATTCTGATAACACCTGGTGAATTACCTCCAGATAATAAGATATATAATATTACTAAGCATTTGGAAACCTGGAAGACCTGGAAGATTTTTAAACTATTTAGTGTAATTCTCCCCAAGGGTTATTTAATAAAATTATCTAAGACCCAGAGAGACGTGGCTTGTCCAAGGTCACATTTAGCAACTATGTGGTAGAGTTTGGCAAGAAATAGAATATCCACAATTCCAGTTCCAGTTTCTTTCTATTACCCCATTCCACCAGACTGTAAACTCCAAGTGGACTGGAACTGAGTTTGTTGTTGCTCATGAGTGTATTTCCAGTACCATGGTATCTGATGCAGTAACTGAATAAAACATTGTTTTGTGGATAAATGAATATGTTCTCATTGTGTTTCCCTTTTTGGTTTCTATCCACATTTCATAAACTGCTATTATGAATTATTACAACTCAAACACTTTCTGATAAAGTCTTAAGGGAGAATTCTATTCATTATATTCTCATTGCATCCCACTGTTGTAACTTCTTGTGCTTGGAAGCTATGCATTGATTCTACAGGTGTTAATTTGCACAGTAAGAAAGAAGGATGATGGGATGATGAATGCTTTTTAAAGGAGTTGGCCTGAACCACATCTTCACTAAGTAATTGATTAATCTTCATTAAGATGATCAACATATCATTCAGTAAGTTACACAGTGTTAATATAATCCTTTGTTATTTATGCTGTACCGTAACCCCCAAACTCTACACCCATGATTCAGAACAGGTGCATGTTGCTCTCATATAGGCAAAGATGACTACAGAGGTATAATTATATTCCCAACTATTAATGGTAGGATGGCAGTTCTCAAAATGAAAAAAACCGAACGGTATATAAGCTTCTCTCAAGTACACTTGTTGGGCTCTCCACAGGAGATGTCAAAAATTATTATGGCAATGTTCATCAAGAATTCTAGAATTACTCCACAACTTGATACTAGCAGGGTCAATAAAATGTTCCCTAAAGACCTGCTCTCTTAATTTTCATTTGCCATATGTTTTTACTCAGGACTTAATTAAAATCATAAAATGTGTTGCTTTTGAGTAGGGCCCCTTTTCAAACGGCTAACATACATGAATGGTTTTTGTCTTGTGGGCTGAGCTTTTTAAAAATGAGATGTCAAAACAGTGCGATCAACTTGGCAACTACTTATTGTGTCCTGAAATTAAAGTTCCAAAACCTATTATTTTTCCTATTGTTTTCTTAAATGAGTCCATATTTTAAGAAAGCAAAAGTTCAAAACTATATATGTTAATTTTATGAACTAAAGACAATACAAATTTTCTGTTATTTCCTTAACATGTGTCATTCATTTTGTCATCATTTATTTGTACAAAATTATACTATTTCCAGCACTGAATTTTAATCAGTGACTATTTGAATTCATGTTTCATTCTTTACAAAAGTGACCAAAATTGATATTGCCATAATAGTACAGTATCAATGCAAAATAGTGTCTTCAAACTGGATGAAAATTATGTTTTCTAAATAAAATGAATATGCCCACCTGGCAGCAAAGAATTTAAAATTGGTTACCAACATGAAGAAATTACTTTCTCTTAAATGATACCAAAGACTCTCAAATTTAAGTCTGTGATCTGGGCATGGTTGTGCACACCTGGAATCCCATCACTCAGGCAAGTGACGTGGGAGGATGTAGAATTTGAGGCCAGCCTTGGTCACATAGTGAGAGTCCATCTTAAAAAAATGAAAAAAAAAATCTGAAATGGTCTCTTCCATTTTCCAGGGCTAAGTGAATCTGTGGGTCACCTACACAGGGATGCCCACACAAGGAACAGTCTGACTAAGTGAAGTGTATCCTTCAATGATGAGAAGAATATGAGATAAATGTATTAACTGGAATATTTTGGAGTGTTCATATGGAACAGAATTTGCTATAAAGTTAATCTTCCAGATTTTGAAATGTCTTAGCAACCTTCAGTTAGATTATTTTAAATATAAGGGCATTAACACAAGAATTATGTGATTCTAGCATAAAATGTAGATACAGATACACAGCTTTGATTACATGTGCATTAAGTCACTGCATTATTCAGAACTATTACCTAGACCTCCTGGTAGAGATTTCACCATATTCTTCAGCTGGGCAATTTCTAGAGCCTCCCAGAGTCTGTCATCTGTGCACTTGCACTCTGGATCTAAATTAAATCTGTAGGGGAAAATCAGTTTATTAGCCAGTAAACAAAAATACAATGTAGATTTGCTGATTGTTTTCCTTTCTTTTAAAATGTAACTTCCATCTCTTTTGGTGACTCCTGTATATTTAGCACCTAAAACAGTGCTCAGAACAGAGCAAGCACTGAATTCATGCTTGATGAATGAGTGATCTTAATGTTGTCAAAATGTTTTTGATTTTATCACTGGGTAAGTTTATGTGCATGATACTCCAGTCCAGCCACTTCATATTACGTTTGGCACAACATGAATAATGTCCAGCAAGATATTCTTACAGGACTAAAGGTAACTACATGAACCATTTACTAATGATAAATACAGATACCACTTTAGATACACTGTGCTGTATCAGCTATAACAGTACTCATATCAATATACTTGCAGACACAAATTGATTATAATATTGCTAAATAGCTTGATACATCCAGAACTTTTTGGGGGATAGGGTCTTATCAACGGTAGGTGAGTACTCTACCACTGAGTTATATCCCCTGCCCAACACAAAGAACTTTTAATTAAAGTAATTTTGCAGGTAAATTTTGAGCAGTCTTACATGTGCTTTGCTCTTCAAGACAAAAAGTAAATACTAGGTGAAGGAGGCAAACATTTCTTTGTGTAATTAAGTGGATGGAGTCTGGGAGCAAGAGAGAGGAAAAGATGGCTGAGGTGAGAGATGGGAGCTGGTGAAGGATGACAAAGATGGACTTGGTGGACGTGGGAGTCAGACACACTTCATTTAGAATTGTAGTTCTACCTCTTTCTGGGTGTGTGACCTTGGGAACATTACAACTGCTTGGGTTTCAACATACTTATCTGCAAAATTAACAGTATGTGGCCCAGAGCAAGTCTTGAGAATTCAATTGAACAATATATTTAAGTCACCTAGCAGAAAAAAGATAACTCAACTTCCTTCCTTCCTTCTTCCCTCCATCTCTCCTTCCCTCCCTCCCCCTCTCTCTCCCTCCTTCCTTTCTTCCTCTTTTCTGGGAAATGATTAAACAGGCATAGAGAAGACTGTAGCAGCTTTATCAAAGCAATCTGGGCCAAAAATGAAGTCATGAGAGGTAGGGAGACAGTAAAGGGTGTAACCAAATCAGAATACCTGCTAAGTCCAGTAGTGACACACCAGTTGGACAGGATGTCTATAGAGTAGGACATATCAGAGATGTATATTAAGAGTCACAGCTCCCAGAGCGTACAGGAAAAAGTGGATTTTATAGAGCCAAACTAAAAAGAGCTCTTGAAAACAGAAGGAATTCGCTTCTTCTATAAATTAATGTACCAACTTGGGTTCCCAATCCAATTGTTGCACAATATATTTGATCTTACCATGTTCACAGTGTTATTTCATACCTACCTGAAAACCAATCCCTACGAGCTAAAGGATCAATCCAGAGGCACACAGATGATCTTTACTGAATGTTCACATACCTAATAGAACCACTGAATAGTATTGGATCCTGCAGAATGATTGAAAGTCTAGATCTCAGCGTGTGCAGTGGCAGTTTGGAAATGTCTATCCCATCGATGACAATCTTGCCTGTTAAGGAGAAACAAAAATTACAGGCATGTAGCAAAGTCACAGTTAAATTTTAATTTGTTTACAAGTTAAAATGTTTTCCACAGGCCCCTAGTTTGAATCCTAACACCACAAAACAGCAAGAGAGAGAGCAAGAACAGGAAAGAAGTTTTTCCTAGTTTGGGATTGAAATTCAGAATATAAAGCTTTTCACTTAAGTATCAAAAACAGCATTGTGTTTCTCTATGAAAATATTCATTTTTGGTGATTCTTTGCCTTTCTGATGTATTTCTCCTGAGGGAGTTTTTAGTTTTTGTTTATTTTTTATTGTTGTGCTGGGTGGGGGTACATTGTGGCATTTATAAAAATTCGTATAATGCATCAAATATATCATACTTGCATTTACCCTCTCATTGCTCTCCTTTATCCCCCCATCCTCCATTCCTGGAATGGTTTCAACAGGTATCATTTTTGCATTTTCATACATGTGTGTACATTTTTATACCATATTCACCTATTCAGTTTATGTGGTCATATCAGATAAAAGTAATTTTGCTTCTTTTTTGATCCTCGCATAAAATTTCTTTACCCTCCTTCCCTGATTATTTTGCTTCATGGGATTTATCAGAATCTTACATTCTATATACATTCACTTAATTTTTATTGACTCTCCCCTACTAGAATATAAGTTCCTTGAAGACTGTCAGGGTTTGTGTAAGAAAAGTCCTCCCAAAGGCTCATGTGTTGAAGACTTGGTCCTCAGCTGGTAGATCCAAATAGATTGTGAGGGTTTTTACCTAATCAATGGATTGATTCATTTTATAACTTAATGGCATTGTTGGAAGATGATAGAAACTGGGAGGTGGGCGTGATTGGAGGAGGTGGGTCACTGGGGTGTGGCTTGGAAGGGTGGATCTTTTCCTTGGTCCCTTCCTGTCTGTCCGTCTGTCCTTCTGCTTCCTGGCTGCTATGAGGTAAGATGCCTCCTCCACCATGTGCTCCCACTGCCATGATGTTCCATCACACCTCAGACCCAAAGCTATGGAGCCAGCCAACTATACCCTGAAACCTTGAGTCAAAATAAATTGTTCCTGTTTTAAACCACTTCTCTCAGGTATCTGTCACAGTGATGAAAGTGACTAACACAAAGACAAAGAATGTTGTCTGTTACTTTCCTTTATATAGTGATTGAAGACTACAGTGTTCTATGAGTAGGAAAACAAATTCTATGATGCAGATTTCAAATTTTACTGAATTTCTCCACATTGTATGTTGACTGAGAGAATCATGCAATCTTGATGTTCTTTCTTCAACTTGATAGATTCATTTTGTTATCTCATCTTTTTGCCAAGATAACGGTTGCCCTGTGAGATAATTATGCCAAGCTAACATGGTAGCTGCAGTCTGTTTATCAGATAGATTTAGAGTCAAGAGCAGGAAAGGGTGATTAGCTTAAACTGTGATTTTCAGGAATAATATATTATCTATTCAAATGTTAACAGCCTAATACTGAAAAGAGAATAAGGTAAATCAGGTATATGGAGCCTGCAGTCATGTTTCTAGATGCACAAGAATCAGGCCTTTGGCTCAGGTAACTGACGTATAAAACAAATCGGACTAAATGTCCTTCAAGTATCTGTGTATTTTAACCAGCTGTGGAAAGAGCCACCAGCCCATGATGTGTGCTTACCTTGTTCCTTAACACCCTCTACCCCTGGCAACTCCAGCGACCGCAGTTGAACTTTTGTGCTCATAAACTGACATTTTTAGTTCACAGACTGTCACGAAGATTAGATTAAATAATGTAAACTGTCAGGTACAATGAAAATGCTGATTGCTATCATCATCATCATTATTACAGATAATAAAAGTAAGCCCTTCCTTGGGCCGGGGCTCAAGTTCATTGTTGGATCCCCTTTCATCAAGATGACTTATGTGCTGGCCACATTACAGTCCACTTGACAGATTAAATAATGTAACATCTTTTTTTCTAAAACAAAGATTAAATTATTTCTCTGTTCTTATTATGGGTGAATAAATATTTTTGGATATTGTTAATACGAGTTTTGCATTTTACATTAAAGTTTGCCTCCTCACAAAATGTTAGTGTCATGAAAACATGTTATTAAGGAGACAATGATGGCAAGAGTCACACACCAAAATTAAAAATGCAGATTACTTATTTCCTTGAAATTTTTCCTTTGATGGGAAAAGTATATTTTTAGTCTGAGGAAAGCACAGTGACCTTCTTTTCCTTCCTCTTGAATGCTATCTACTTCCACTGACACTCAAAGTGAGTGGCCTTACTCATTTTGCCAGTGTATTAGAACTGCTCAGCATTGATCCCTAGACTTGAGTTTAGGGCTCACCATTTTATTTTCTCAATTTTATGTTCTTTCATTATCTTTGTGTTGTTTATTTGGGATACCTGCCTGGAGCCATGTGCAAGACACAAAGTCCTTATAAATATTTCCTTCTTATTTTTTCAGAACTAGGTAAGTTGATGTTGTTTTTCTTATATTTTTGAAAGGAAAGAACTACAAGACCAATTAAAAAAAATTTAGTTCACAACTCACCATCAAATATATCAACCATTCTGAAGAAAGCCAGCGATAAGGAGGACTTCCCACTGCCTGTGCGGCCACAGATGCCCACCTGAAAAGCAACTGTCACTCAAAGGGAAGAGGACTCAGGACAGAAAATGGACCAAAGCATTGTTAGCTTAGACAAGATATCATGATAAAAGTACAATTCTATTTATTTACATTACTATGTAATAGTCTTCTTAGGTTTTATGAATTATCATCATTAAAATAAAAATGAAACCTTCACCAAATTCTCAAGGGCTGAATTCAAATTCTTTTTATTTCTATGTGGTTCTGTTGATTTTTCTTCTTGGATTAATTTTTTCATTTAGTATAGAGTTAGACTAACAAATAACTGTTCTATTTTATCTTAGATGTGATAGGATTATAAGAAAAAGAATGAGTCCATATTTCCTACTCACTTGTTCTTTTTTACAGTAACTAAAAGAATTCATTTTGGGATTAAAATAGAATGAAGGCAAAGGTTTCCAAGGAAATGTCAGATATAGCCATGAGCTAGAAGCCAGAAATTTTAAACACACCTATTGTTGACTTTCCTGATTTTCATGGGAAGCTAATGAATGATAATCAGACCTAGAGAGCATATCTTGTGCCCGAATCTTATCTTTCCCTTTTCTCTTTTGTGCAGATATTTTACCTATGTAAAGGCAATAGCACTTGAGCCTAGTGAGAATTTACTTACTTGGCTTGGATGTGAAGAGAACTTAAGTAGTGATAGTGGGTGCCATCAGAGTAGGAAGCAAATCAAATGGAGGTGAGTTTCATACCTTTTGCCCAGGTTTGATGTAAGCCTTGACATGTTTTAGAACAGGCTTCAGGTTATTTTCATATCTGACACACAGATCATGAATCTTGATCTCCCCTTCTTGTGGCCAATATTCTGGAACTTGAGAAGGATCTGGGAGATAGGGAAGAGGAATAGATGATAGACAGATGATAGATAGATAACAGGTAGAGACAGATGTAGAAAGGAAACAAACACAAATAATATGGATAAATATTAATAATTTTAATATACCTGTAATTTTTCCTAAACTTACTATTGAGTCAAACTTTGTCCTTATGTTTTAAATTTCATTAAAAGTAAACACATCTTAAGAACTTTAAAATTCTGTTTTGTGTTTATTTTTGGACTATTGTCTCTTCAGCATTCCATCATTCAATTCTATTCAAGGTGAGTAGAAAGCAATTCATTTGTGAACTGACTAACTTCTTCAGTCAGTTGATCATCAAACATTTGAGTGCTTAAAATGTGAAAGGTGTTGTGCAAGGAGCTGGGCACATGGAGATTGAAGGCATGGCTCCAGGTGCATGCTGTGACCTTGAGAAGCATGCATGGACGTCAGTACTACATGAAAAGCCACATGGTGGAGGCGCCCAAGGTACTCTGGGAGCATAGATGGTGGGGACCTGAGCATTCCAGCAGGGCTCCAAGAAGAGGAAGTGCCTGAGAGGATCTTAGAGGATGAGAGATGGGGAAATTTGTTTCAAATGTATATGAGCAAAGAACAAAGATGAAAGGAAAGAATAGCACATTAGTATGTCCTGATGATAAGAAATGAGACAAGGTGGGGGGAAGGGTCCACTAATGAAAGGCCCAGTGGTCTTACTAAATTATCTGGACTTCATCTTTGAAGAGCTAGAAAGATGTTGAAGGATTTAGGCAAAGAAAAACATTTTAACTTTGAGATTTGTATTTAATAAAGATTATTCTGCCTTCAATATTGAATTTCTTGCCAGTTTTATTCTAATAGAATTGAGACTCTTGTTTAGAATTTTAAGAACCAAATTTCTTGACATCTAAGTTAATAAATTCTTGAGAAAGAGAATATAATAGTTGACACTTTAGGTTGGTGATTAAAGTAACAAAACTCAAATATTTTTATTATTCCTTAAAAAATATTATTAAATATTGTCAATTTGGGGTCTAGTTGTACCCAGGACTTTTCAGACCAAAATAGTCGTATCTAGGTGCTTATAACCAAGCAAAATTAAGACGAGAGAGCCAGGTATGGTGCTTCACACCTGTAATCCCAGCACTTGGGAAGCCGAAGCAGAAGAATCTCAAATCTAAGACCAGCCTGGGCTACACAGTGAGACCCTATGTGAAAAAAAAAAAACCCAAAATAAAAATCAACATGAGAAGGAGTTCTCTGGATATTAAAATGGGAAAAAAGCAGAGGAAATGTGTCTGACATACAAGTTATATTTGTTCAAACACTTAAGTGTAACAAAATCATGTTTACAATACCCAAGGTGCCTTCATAGTTCTCAGACTCCATCGTCAAGAAACTGTTCACTTTCTTCACTGCACCCATCTGCACCTCCAGGTCAGCCAAGTTCCTCACAACCCAATTCAAATAATTGGTTATCTGTGTCAGGTGACAAAAAAATAACACATTGAACATTAAAGTAAGCAATTTTCATAATCACTGGATATTTTGGGATAGAATGACTTGGTGTTCATCATGTGGTATAATTCAGAAGCACTTCAGGGTAGCAGAGATCAGAGAGAATGCCAAAGGATGCTCCTCTGCCCCTATGTCATAAACTGTCCTCAGATTTCCCTGTGCAATGCCTAGTTTCATGTCCTCTGTTTGCACTTATCTCATTCATATTAACACTCATGTTAGTGTCCCCAGTTGGGCTGCGAATGACTCAGAATAGGGATTTCAAACCACCTTGGGAGTTCTCTGACCAAGGATTTGAGAAGTTATAACAAATAGACTTGCATTGTCAGAAATGAATCCTCACTCTCCTACAACATTAGGTTTGAGCCCAAATCTATATTTGGAAGATGTCATCTTGTTATGAATTTCAAACTTCTCCTCTAAGGTCCAAGAATAAGAGTTGATACCCGTACCTACCGTAAGGGCATACAGGAGACCCAAGCCCACTAATCCAGAATTGAAAGGTCGACTAATAGATGCAATAGATGCCGTCAGGACAATGCAAGCTCCCAGATAATCCTGCCAAAGAACAAGAAGAAGTTTAAAGGGGATTCCCAAGTTCTTAAACCAAACATGGCAATCAACTTTGCACACCAGTCTACGAGTGCCCTGTGAAGTTTCATAGGAAGGAAATCAAAGGTGTGGAAAAATGATGACTTGGAATGGAGTGACACTCTGTTATCACTATATACAAGAAGACATGGCTTCAGAGAAGTTAACTTCCTCACCAAAAGTTAAGCTGTAATTGGTGTCACAACTGGGACCAGACATAGCATTTCTTTCTTTTCCCACATTTTTGTTTGTTCATTGTTGTTGGTGTATTGTCAGATAAGCAACTATTTTGGGGCCTGATTGTTTAGTTTAGATTTCACGTGTGCTTGCATCCAGATTGCAATTGCTATAGTAATCGTGTGAAGACTTGTGCCTCAGATTAACCTGTTGGGATCTTTATCTCAACATTTTGTCAACTTCTGCGCTCAAAGTCTGGGACATTAGATCTGCAAATCATGGAAGTAAGACTAACTTGCTCATAAATTAGAAGTAGTCATGTGTCTTAAGAGTATCTAAGTTGTCTATGACTCAATGATAAACCCTTTTGCAAAACTTAAAAAATTCTAAAGCCAGCCTTAGGCTCAAATGAGTCTTTTCCCAATCCTCTTGAGCACTGGTCTGTCTTATTGTTTGAAAAAGAAATCCTGAAAACTTCTTGTGCTGATGTGTCATTTGTCCCCAAAGCGGGAGAATTTTGGATATGAGTCTTCCAGAATTTTCTCATGTCTTATTCCACTGGTGAACTCCTTCACAAACTAGATATATCTCAGATTCCTTAAAAAACAAAATCCAGCAACAAAATGAAAAGACTTTAAGAATGGTAATGGAGCATTTCATGTACTAAGTCTAAAGAAAGAAGTTTCTCTAATTAGCTCACATGGTTATTGCTCCTCTTCAAACACATACCCAAAGGTCAAGCTGTTACAGAGCAAACAATGAAACCAGCGTGGAAGTAGAACCTGAATTTAAATGCTGGCCTTGTCAGTTACTAGCTTGTGAGCTCTGATGAGTAATTTAAACCTCCTGGGTCTCATCTGTTTTGTGGAAAATAGAAACAGTACCTGATTTCGCAGAGATTTTTGAAAGAAATAAATATGCTAACTAGAGATTTCCTCATCTCCTGTATCAGAATGCCTTTTTGTCCTCATGGATGATTTTCAAATGTTTGAAACAAGCTTAAAAAACATGCATCATAAAACATCAAAGGCCAAACCAAGTACTAACATATAATTCTGTACTGATTTCCATAATCATTACAAAGAATAAAAGAGAAACCACAGAGTCATAATCTGGAGGCAATAAATCCCACACATGTAAATACTTCTGTGATTGTTTCTTCTGATGTGCCAAGTGATAACAACTTATCACATCATCCCAGTCAGACAGTTCTTCCTCTCTTCCCTTTTATTTGCAATAATAACTTCACAGACATAGACTCTCACTGGTCTGGATTGTTCTTTTATGGTTCATAAATGCCAATGTACTCCCAAATACTTCGAACACATTTATAGCTGTATGATTTTTTTCTTTTCAGCTTCCTTGTATCAAGTTCTTATTTTTAAAGTTATGTTATATATTTGTTTTTTACACATTATCATTTCTAAAAAAAACTCATACAGTTTTAGTAATAAGTTGCAGGAAGTAAATTAGTACTAGAGGATACTTCCAGCAAGATATGCTTGGCTATTGAGAAATTTCATGGGGAATGAATACATGAAGAGCTTGAAGCATGATGTTTCTTGTATTAATTTCTATCCTCTACTCCCTGTCAGTTTACTTCTTTGGGAAGAAAAGTCTCTTTCACTCATTCATTCATTCATTCATTCATTCTTCTAAAAGTATGTATCAAGTCACATGACTTCCTTGTTTAGAATCAATGTACTATGATAAATTCAAACTCCAATGGAAGATTGAACTTTTGATGATATAAAGCAAATTTTAGGCTCTGCCTACTCTCTTCTTATCTGAGATTCCTTTCCCATTCCTGCACTCTGCTCCAACCACTCTGGCCTTTTTTCTATTGGGACTACTCTTACTTTGTTTCTGCCAATGGTTGCCTGAAATATTTGTCCACAGGTCTTTGACACTTAGCTCCGTCTCATCATTTAAGGGTCAATTCTAATATCACCTTCTTGGAGAGCCCTTCTTTTCTTGGCCATTAACCCCAACCTTGGAGCTGTTCTCTATCCTATTATCCTGCTTTGCTTTCCATGAAGGACTAAGAGGTATCTAAAGTGATTGTACTTGTTTACATGTCTATTTTCACTAGAATCAGACTTCCACAAAGACAGGTTTCTATATAAATATTTGCTATTATTATTTCCATCCATAGGAATATTGATAAGTACATTGGAAAGTTTCAGTAATTCTTTACAGAATAAATAGTTGTACAAATTTGCACCATTCACAGAACATTTACCAAACTTTTCTATGAGCCAACTACAAACTGACTGTGTTTAGGCTTCCTGAGAATCATTTGATTCTCCACCAATGTATTTCCAGACTTAAAGAGTTGAGCCAGGCAAGATCCTACAGGAATGTCTATCTGATAAAGTAGGAAGTCCAATACCAAGTTTTGTGACCTTCTTATCCCCCACTAAGAATTATGATATGACTGTCTCTTACAAAGCTTTGCCAGGCATAAGTGATAGGTGTTCTTTGGTTTTCTAAAGTGAAAAACATTCTCATGTAAGTCATGAGCTTTACCATTCAGTGCCAAATTATTATCATTTTTACTATTTCAGTGGGAAGCAGGTCGTAAAATCCTGTATTGCATGTTCTTTACAAAGAGCAGATCAGAACGGGACTAGAATAGAGCAAGACCACATCTGAGATAAGAAACAACAAAATAATCATTGAATCTAAATAAATGAAAATTAAGCAGTGAACCTGAACCTCCCATAAATAGAATAAAAGAAGTATAAGGATTATACACTCAATCTGTCTCTGTCTCTGAATACTCATTCTCTCTCTCTCTCTCTCTCTCTCTCTCTCTATTTAGTTTACTATAGAAACCTTCATATTCTATACTGGGCTTGGATTCACATACTGCAAAGAACTAAATGGTAGATTCAACTGGATGAAAATATTGACTATTTTTTACTGAATTAAAAAGATAATTTCTTGTAACACATAGAGAGTTGTATCATGGCAAAAGAGCCAGCAAGAGGAGTGAAAAGAGAAGTAAAGGGATGAGGCCAATCCATATGTTGTAATAAGGAAAACACAACCATGGGAGCATTCCATTTATATGTGCTAAATTATAACTTCTGTGTTTTCTGGTCTCTTCATGTGGTTGAGTGTTTTCAAAATGAATTGTGAAGTTTTCAATGTGGTCATTAGACACTATTAATTGTTAGCCCAGTAATTAACACATGCCCAAATTCATATGTAAAGATAATGTTCTAGAAAATGTCTTTGAAACTTCAGGAAAAGGAAGGCCTTCCCTTTTTGAATTAGCATGTTAATTGTATATAATTTGTATAGCAATTATCAAAATCTACAGTCAACTACATTCAAATAGATACTATAGCTTGAATGAAAGTCATTATCTGTAATTTAGTATCTATAACAAAGTTATTCATCATTAAAACATTCATTTATACTGTTTCTTTTTTAGAAAGTGTTAATCATGCTACCTATTAACTATACTAACTAGACACTTCCTAGCTTAGTGCTGAAATATTTCCACTGCTCAAGAATGTGTTCTCTAAAACACAGGAAATTTTGGGGAGGCATTTGATGAGAATTTTGAGTGATCTGCATAAGAGATAACACTGTGGTATGCAATGTTCATCAAGAAATTTCATAGTTGGCACATGCCAGTGATCCCAGGTACTCAGGAGGCAGATGTATGAGTGTTGAAAGTTCAAGGCCAACTTCATCTCAAAAACTACAACAAAAACATAAACACAAGGGCCAGAAGCATGGCTCAGGTGGTAGAGTGCCTGCCTAGCAAGCTAACAAGCATAAGGTACTGAGTTCAATCCCCAGTCCCACAGAAATTGAGAGCAAGAGAGAGAGAGAAGGAGAGAAGGAGGAAAGGGAGGGAAAGAAAGAGAGAAGGAAGGAAGGAAGGAAACTACTTTCTGAAATCACTAAATTACAATTACTTTCCTTCAAATACTACAGTAGTGGAGAAATGTGAAATTTCCATATAACACAAAAGCTTATGTTAGTTCCCCATTTTCCACTTCCCTTATTCAAGTTTAGAGAGAAGCTATGGTTTCACCCTCTTTCCATTTCTCTTCAAATATGTGAACAATAAGATGGCATGAAGGTAATGAATTAAGAACACAGAAGCAGAAGGTCAGAGTAACTCACACAGAGGATCACTAGTCCTTACCATCCTCACCAGTCTATTCAGTGTCAAACATCTGTCACAATGACACAATGGAATGACAGATTCAAGTTAGGAAATAATCCCATTTATGTTAATCCTAAACATATTAATTAGACTCTCAAAAAAGAGCCAACCACAGGATATTTTATTTGTATAGTGCTAATGACAATTTCTATCAATTTTATGAATCCAACCTTCCCCTGAAAACGTGCATCCTTTTATTTCCATGTCAAAAGAGTAGCCTCTTGTCAGATTTCTAGTGGTTTGAAGACATCTATCCCTATGTGGCTTATCATGAAAATTGTAATTCTCTATAAACAGACTTGTGAATAGTTGATAGCAACTAAAAAACACATGATCTCTTTCCTTCCAGTGACTCTCAGGAATCCATATTTACAGTACCACTGGGTATTGAAGAGAAGATATCAGAGCCTTCATATTACAAGGTCATTGCATACCTGTCCACTGTTGTGCTGTAAATGCAAAAAGACTCTGCATTGTTTCACAAGACAGACTCTTGTGCAAGCTCAGCCTGAAGTTTTTTTTTTTTTTTTTTTTTTTTGCATGGTGACTCAAGCCTTTTTTATTTTTTGGCTTCCTGATGTGAATTTTCTTTTATCTTTTCACCACACAGGAAGACAAAGCCTTGGAAAGACAACCATAAGATAGAATTACACAATTTTTGCAAATGGAAACACCAATGCCAAAGGACTGGAGTTGTTTAGTGCAGAGGGATGAAGGGAAAATGCTGTGCTGAACAGAAGGACGTCAGCAGCATTCAAAGGTTAGGCCGTAGTGACACATGGCGCACAACCACGGCCCACTTCACTTGGCACCCAGATGAAAAACAGTCCCCTCTGCTGCCAAAGCAACCCGGGTGGCCACTTCTAGCTACTTTTCTACCAGCCAAATCATTTTATTCTTTTAGACTCTTGTTCTATTTTTGATGTGTGTTACAGGCTTCATTTTTTCCCCAATTTAAAATGAATGCGGTAGGTAAGGCTAAATCCTCTATAGAGAAAACTGTATAACCAGAGAAAGACAATAAATTGTGATTGTCTTAATGTCAATAGGGAGAGAAGAAAGTCATGTATTTCTGAAACCAAAACAAAAAAATGATAACAAATATTGGAGGGGACCAGAGACCTTCCCGAATTCAAACACCTGGTTTTGCTCTGGTTTCTCTACTATTCTTCAACCTTGGCATTTTCTGTCAATAGCAGGTAATGACATTACTTCTGAAAGCTAGGATTGGGAAGGAAGAGAGAGGAAACAAGTAAGTAGCCATATAAACTATGGAATCAAGTTTTCTCCTTTTTGCATGAAGACTTTGAATCCCTGAATTGGACTTCATAAAAATTCCCAAATCTGCATCCTGTTTGTCTATTGCAATTTATATTCAAGGCGCTAGCCCTTCTTGTACCATTTTAGTTGTGGTTTTGCTCTGGGAATTCTAAGAATATTTGCTGTAGGTAATTTCTTGAGTAAGATGGCAAACGAAGGGAAAGGAGAGGGTTGAGCTGACACCACAGACAAGACCCATGCAGACTTACTGGGCCGAGTAGAAGTTTTCAATACTTCTTCCATGTGACTTACAAAGCAGAATACAGCCAGCTGTGAGGTTCAGAGAACAGTTCACACCCTAGTCTCCAAGGTCCTGTATATCCACATTCATATTCCTGACATGAAACCCAGGACTTCAAGCTGAAATTGTGCCTCCAGCGACATGGACACATCCACAGAAGCACAGTAGTAATGAGGTCATGGATAGGCATACAATTGGGAGAAAAGATTATTTCCCAATAGAAATTATCTACTTAATTTATTCAGTTTTCCGTTTGTGTTGTATGTTCTTGGAGTATAGCACTTATATTTAATTACACCTGGTTCTGATGAAAATTTGCAGTGTACAAACTTACTGTCATATTAATAGAGACAAATCACACACAAAGGACCTTGAACTTTGACTTCTGTCAGCTGATATGCTTAAACTGCAATAAATCAACAAAAATTTCTTACCAAAATTGGCTTTCACCCATCAGAAACAAACAAAAGACACCTTAATCTTGTTTTCATTATTGTTATTGTTTTGGTGTTGAAACTCAGATATGAACCATCCTTAAATTTTTGTATTAGTGTTTGAAGGAGAATTTTAGTAATAAGAATAGCTTAATAAATCTTAAGAGAAGACGTAATGACAAATGTATTGTAAAGTAATGGATGAGGCTGAGTGGGTGAAATCCCAGCAGTTGGGAGGCTGAAGCAAGAGGAATATGAGTTCAAGGCCAGCCTGGGCTCCATAGGGAGACACTGTCTCAAAATTAAAAAAAAAAAGAATGAGATTAATGGCAGTTTCTTCCCTTCTTGTTTAAAAGGTCAGTATTTAGTTTCTGCAGGTGGAACTAGAATTCTTCTATATTCAGGTAGGTTTGACTTCTTTTCCACATGGGAGTTAAGTGTTGGGTCAAACTAAACCATGTTTAGTTGGCTGCTGTTCCTTTCTAATTTATCCTGACCTTCCCTTTCTTGGCAGCCTTAGGCTCGATATCTTGTCTGGACATGTGGCTTGCTTAAATATTCTCAAATATTTAAACATTCTTGTTCACTTGTCTGTAAACCTGACAGTAGAAAGGGCAAAAGAGTCGCAGTTGCACACTTACCTCAAACACACTTGCCCCAAAAGGCATGCCTGCTCTTTAAGTTTTGGAAAATTACACACAGGTAACTAATACCATCCCTCCTATGATCCTGGAACCTTCCTTCATTAAGCTATTTTATCATTAATTCCATTACTCAGATAGGATGTTTTCCCTTAGGGAAAAACACAAATTTTAAAAAGACACATGCAACAGACAGAAGCCTAAAATGAGGATGATGGTCTGGATAGAGTACAGGAATAAAGTTTGGCTATAAATCTTAAACAACACTTCACTTTACATTGTTACAATTCCTGAGACACTCTGCCCTGCCTTCTTTTAACGCTTACAGTTACCTGGAAGAAGTTTCTTATCAATAACCAATGCTTCCTTCAAAAACTCATGGAATACAATAGTGCCATGTTGCTGAATAATTCATACACAATGATTAGTAGAGTGGTGAAGAATCTCTGTAAAGCAGAGTGTAATCATGGTAACTAGAGCTCACCAGATGTCCAAGGTTCCATATCCAACCACATCCCTCCATCTCCATCCATCAACTACTCACATTTTAACATGAGCACCTTCACTTCATCCCTATCAAATTCCCTTTATCATCTGCCCTTTCTGGTTGTTGAGTTTTAAACATCCGGTAGGGAATCAGTATCAGTCAGAATAAGGTTCTTCTAGCAACAACAACTGAAAGGTAACTATGAAAAAATTACACTGAACTCATTACCACCAAAGTGGCTTGTTCATGTTGCGGATGCACAGGCCAGTGGGGAGCAATACCCGTTTCTCTTCTAGAACTTGTATCTCATCTTTCTCCCACTTTATACTTCACTTAGGCTTTGTGGCTTCAGAACCACTTACCGGGGTAAGTACCATTTCCACTCATCTGATCATCCATCCGTCCATTTAAAAGACATTTTAAAATGTGTTTACCAGTATACCAGGGATTTCATATTATCTTTAATCCTAATATCTCCATAAGGTACATAATCTTATTCCTACTTTATAGATGGGGAACTGGTACTCAAATAAAATAATTTGCTAATGAAGTCTGTACAAATCTTGTGTTTATTCTACATCACACAGGAGATGAGAAAGCAATACATAACTAACCATAGTTCTTCACATTCAATGCTAACATGAACCTCCTCTAGCATAAAACACAGAAAGCTGCTATCCCTTCCAGGCCTGTCCAGCTCAGTGAAGGAAATAAGAACATTTGGTCACTTGTCAAATTTGCTCTTTAAAAAAAATGGAAGCTATATAAATATTTGCCATTCCATTAAGTTATGTAGTCTAGCAGCTATAATGAACATAAAATGAATTTTTTTCTTTCGGGGCTATTTATCTTGCGATTAGCTAAACCATTATTATTAATTTCATCTGTAACATAAACAAACCTGAGCTCTTTTCAAATCCAGAAAATGTGGGACTTGGGGATTTATCTCAGTAAAAGACTAATTTTACAACTGTCTGCATCTCTGCACCAGGACTCTTTTGTATTTGGTTTCTATTTCGAAATCATGAAATGAACATACCGTCCTGACCTCCAGCCATCTGTTGGCAGCTGAGAGAAATAAGTAGGCAATGTTGTTTGTATCTGTCAGTTCCAGCATACGTTGCTTAAATCTTGTTTCATGCCTGCAGGAAACAAAAATATTACGATGTTAGCCCACAACAGGAGAAATAATAAAAAACAGTCACACTTACTACTACACAATTTACTCAATACAGTGACAAAGTGATGGAATGGGATGATGGGCAAATGAACTCCCGCTTCACAATAAAGACCAGCTGCATTTGCTCTACAGCATTCTTAGTAGAATAGAGTGAGGCTGAGTGTTTGCACCTTTTTCACACCCCTACTAAGAAAAGGAGTCTTTCTAATGACAAATTTTTATTAAGGATCGTTTTGCAAATTTCCACAGAATTATTAGGGCCATGAAAACAAGGCATGACCTATGTTGCAAGGGCCCTAAAAAAACCATGATAAGATATAGAGAAATGCAACATATTCTACCTTCTTTTTACGTCATTTACTTTACACTTCCAAATGGTACAGTTAGAGGGGGCTGGGGGCTGCTGGGTGAGAAGGAAGGAAGATAGGAAACTATGCGTTTGTAACAGGTAAATAGGTATTTTCATATTTCTCATTTGCCTGTCATTTCTGGGAGCTCAAAATGAAAAGTGGGCTGGCAAGAAGCAGAGGATAAGATGTGCACACCCCAAAACTCTAAGCTGTTTGTAAGGCTGTGAATGCATAACAGGACATCTGGGTATGCGGTAGTTAAGGGGTACTTAATAGTTTGGATATTAGTCCTTGACAAATTAAGTTCATTCTTGATCTCTAACATAATCAGATCAAATTCTTTACAGCCTACTTTGTAGATGAAGCTGTTAACAACAACCTTATCTATTTGAACATGTGAGTTACTATCTCACAGAAACTCATAGTACATGGTAAAAAACCTTTTCTAAACTACAAAAATAGTCTCTTTCCATTTTGCAGATATTTTCTCTGAATAACAGAAACAATAGGAAGTTGGAAAGTAATGGATTTGTCAGTTGGGGAAATGCCAAATGAAACGTGAACTCATTCAACCATTGCAGCCATGACTTGTCTTCTGTAACTCATCTACGGGTTATTTTTGCAAGAAATGGCCAAATTTCATCTGACCACCTGATAATGATCTCTGCTTGATAAAAGAGGGCCCCAGCCCATACCCAAATCTTCAAGTAAATGTGCAAAACATTTTAGTAAACCATCACTTGTATCAAAAATGAAGAATTCCTGGGTGGGGTAAGCTACTTGGCCCAGTGAAGCAATCCATACAGGCCAATATAAAGCAGATACTTGATAGCTTTCCAATCAATCTGATCATTCCAATATGTCAAACCAGATAAATAATTCAGTCAGACAGGAATCTCTGATCTACAGTAATCAAAGGATTCAGCAATCAGAGCAAAATCATTACTTCATTTTTGAGTTATGCAGCCTTGAGTTAAATGCCATGCACAGAGAACCTGTGCGTGGCAACACACTGGTGTGGGACACCGTGTGTCCACAGAACATGCTCACCCTCCAGATGACCCTTTTAGAGATGAATATAGTCAATAAATAAAAGCTAGGGTGCTCAGAAGGTTACAGGAGTTACTGAGATGTTGGATGTGAACTATAAAGGGAGGCTCTTTCTGTACTTGCTAGGGACATGTTAGATGGATTTTTATCCATTCATTTGGTAGCATTTAGCAGGTATTAGTGCTAAAGGAGGCATTATGCGAGCTTCTTGGTATATAAAAATGAGTGAGCTTACATCCCCATTCCCAATCAGCAAAGGAAATAAACTCAGTATCAGTAAATAAGAATGGTGCAGCACAGGACCTACTTATAATGATCCTATGCACAAAAAGCTACATGAACATGAAGGAGGGGGGTGATTTGTACTGATCAGAGATGATCAGGGAAGATGGTGTGAGCCTGGCTTTAGGTGATGAGCCAAATTTTTCAGGTGAACAAGACATTCTAAGTAGGAGAAGTAACATAAGCAAAAGCACAAAAACAAGAAAGCCCAGCTTGTTCATGAGCTTGAAACGAGTCTCTTGCCTTGCTGGACTGTGGTGATGGAAAGATGGAAGAAGAGCCCACTTGGACCAAACCCAACAGACCAAAACTGAGATGAGCATCAAACACTTGATTCTGACACAATGCTTTTTCTGGGACTCTTCTTCCTCTAGCTTTTGTCTGGGGTATTGTTTCAGACATGCTCTTAAAGAGTTTGTAAATGAGGCTGGCAGCAGTCTGAAGCAGCAGTGAGAGGGGAGGGGTAAAATGCAGGGAGCATTCTTTCTGTGTGTTTCTATTTGGCAAGAAACTTTCTGTTTTCCTAATGGAAACTTTGACACAGTCAGTCTGTATCTTTTCATCCACATCCAGCTCATCTTCTGAACATTCTTAGACCTTTATTCTGTCAGACAAAAAAAAAAAATAAAAATGTAGGAAGGGTCACTGACATCTTAGTCTAATTTAACTGTGATACTCTCATGGTAAACTACTTGAGGGAGTTCATTGCTTCATGTGAGTACACCATGAACCTTGAGGAAAGGGTGGGGGAGCAGTCTAATCAGTAAATATTAACTTTCCAAAAGAGCTCAGGACTCTAGGGACTCCTGGTAGATTGAGAGAAAGGAACAGATGGATGGAAAAGAACATGTTTCATTCTTGATCACAGACATCAAGCATAAAGATTCTAGAAATTTATCCCTGAAAGCAGGGCCATCCATCCCCTCCTTTTCAAGACTTGTTCTTGTTTTTAAAATGCTGATACTTATGATATTTAAGAGTTGCTTTTGAAATGAACTCTGAAATACCACAACCTGGATTTACATACAGGATACCTCTAGGTGTAAGTCGAGTTGTCTTTGTTTCTTCCAACTATAATTCAAGAATTGAAGATTAATGGATAACATTTTGCTCTTCTTACAGCTTTTTCCCAATGTAAAAATAATAGTAATGCTAAATTCTGCTCATGGGTCTAGTGAAGAAGGTAGATGAAAAATCTGAACCTTGAGTCTTGGTCAATTTCCTTTTTCATTCTACATCTTCCTCAATTTCTTCAAGATGTGCTACCTGATTCTTGTTCCTACAGCTCTCAGATGACCTCACCTTCTTCAGGGAGAAAAGAAAGACTCATGTTGAACGTGCAAACACCCCACAGCTCCACCTATCAGCCTGCCTGAATTCATTCACATCCCTTCCTCACCTTCACAGAGGAGTTCTATACCAAACCTTGTTCAAGCTCTTCTCTCTCCACTTTGGCCCTTGGACAGATCCCTGACATTCTGCCATAAATATTTGCTCCATCAATTGTCTATCTTGCCTGTATCTCTACTTCATCCATCTCTAGCTCATTATCTTCTTAAAAATAAAAATATAGTATAAAAAAGAAACGCTTTTTTTTTTTTGGTTTAGGATTTTATTTTTTATTTATTTTTTTCTTTTATTATTCATATGTGCATACAAGGCTTGGTTCATTTCTCCCCCTGCCCCCACCACCTCCCTTACCACCCACTCCACCCCCTCCCTCTCCCCCGCCTCAATACCCAGCAGAAACTATTTTGCCCTTATTTCTAATTTTGTTGTAGAGAGAGTATAAGCAATAATAGGAAGGAACAAGGGGTTTTGCTGGTTGAGATAAGGATAGCTATACAGGGCATTGACTCACATTGATTTCCTGTGCGTGGGTGTTACCTTCTAGGTTAATTCTTTTTGATCTCACCTTTTCTCTAGTACCTTTTCCTATTGGCCTCAGTTGCTTTTAAGGTATCTGCTTTAGTTTCTCTGCATTAAGGGCAACAAATGCTAGCTAGTTTTTTAGGTGTCTTACCTATCCTAACCCCTTCCTTGTGTGCTCTCGCTTTTATCGCTTTTAATTATCAACCCTTTAACTCCTTCCTCCCTCAATGAAACTTCTTGAAAGAGTAGCTTTTCCTTGATACCTCCATGTTCTCATTTTGTATTAATTCTTCAAAGCACTGAAGCCTGACTTTGATTCTTTTCCACTTTATCATTTCTGTTCTTAACATCACCAATAGCTACATAAAAGGACACTTTTCCATCCTTTGTTTTTACCACCTTGCCCATTCAATTCCTTAAGTTTTCACTTGTTTAACAACAACGACACCAGTATCCTTATTTAAGTAACTCATCATTACAATGTTTCATTGATTTTGTTAAAATTTCAGGTGATTAAACTCTAACTCTTACACTATCCTGAATCTTTGCCTACTACCTAGATGGCTTATTTTCTCAACTAGAAAATTCCTCCAGGAATTCCTAGTCTGAATTCCTCTTTTTTGGTAGGAAAATGAGTATTTCCTAGTACATGACAACATTTGACCTTGGAAGGAGGAAAACATCTTTACAGTGATATTGCCCAGGGTACATATGAACCAAACATAGGTACAGCAGTCAGGCCTTCTAGATCTATCATTAACCCAGGTAGAGCTATTAGAGATAAATGTTTATCAGAAGTTGTCATTTGGAAGTAGGCTATCAAAAATTTCAGCTGGACACTTAGATGCCTTTGTTGGCTATTAGGGAGGCAAAATGCTTGGATGCTGGGCTTTCCTATCTGGACATATATGTAGAACATGAGGAGAGGCCTCGATGAAATTCATCTTCACCGCCATTAACTTGTCACTCATAAGACAGTTGATCTTTGTAAGGCTCAGTTTGTTAATGCAGTAGTCATAAGGACAAGTTTGTTATGGTCTAGATTCTCCTTCCTTATGGAGGCACTGATTTGGACTTGGTAGCATCGAGTTGGCCTATGTCAGGGTTGGCCAGGATCAGGAGGTACTCACAGGATGTTTAGTTGGAAGACTGGGGTAATGACAAGAGACACTGAACCATCTCCTCTGTGAGGACATTAACTAGAGAAGAGAGTTCAAGCGGACTGCCCCAGGGAAAAAAGCTGGAAGTAGATACAAGAAGTTGAAGCAAAGAAAGAGTCATGGCGACGTTAGCAAGAAGTGATAGACTGATCAGTGAAATGTTGTTTAACTCTTTCATAAAACATCTGAACATTCACTATGAGCCTATCTCTGTTAATATGCTGAGGAAAAAGATAAAAGACATTTTA